CAGATTTCTTTGACAAAAAAGGTGAAGTTTCCTTTTTTAAGTAAGGAATTCATTAGTACTATTGAATACTCTTATCATATTTCTTTTAACTATAAATGATTTCCTCTACTTGGTTCCTCAGTCTTCAAAGGCTTTATAAGTTAGATACAAGCAGGTATACATTAGAAGCCTGGGTATTGTGGAGGTGTTAATATGTGGTAGATTTTTTTTTGATCTAAGGACCCATTAACTTGTCTTTTCCTTTGGTAAAGAGGTTTTAGATCGACAATTACATTGCAAGGAAATTCAGTGCGGATTATTTCAGTCACACAGTGACTGACGCTCCTCACCTGGACAACTGCTTGTCCAGTTGGACAGGATGGACAAGGAAATTTTTTCTCACATGTCCTCACAGGGCAGAGCCGGGTGAGAGCCGGTCTCTGGTGCGCTAGGCAAATAAATAACCAAATACCGGGACCATGATAAAGGCCCGAGACAGCTTGGCTCTTGGTTCCGATTCCTGCAGAAAGAGTTGTATGTTTGAGTCACATATGGCTGAAGATGTGCAGAGACTATTAAAATAAGCATTCTTCCGTGGTGCTAAACATGTGATGTGAAAATTGCCTTCAATACAGCAGCCTTTATACGCTCACCTATGATAAACCAGGCTTTTCATCACAAAATATTATTCATGTAGATACTAATCTGTGTGCAGTGACAGCACAACAGTTCATTTATGTTTATCTGTGGAACACTGAAACAGGCATACAGTGCGTTTCTCTAAAAGCTTTAATGAATGTTAATGACAGGGAATATCGCTTGAAGACAAAACTTGTGCCTAGGAAAATACAGAAAAGGGAAGCCAATAACGCATCGTGTGGAAAATATTAGCTTGCTGGAAAACTCTTTATGGTTTGAATTAATTTTTAGTTCAGCAGAACTTGGTAAAACTATAAATAGATAAATAGTCTCTTGCTTTCCTGTAGCTTGCTTCCTCTTATGGTGTGCTTTAGAAGTCTCCACATTCAGTGATTTTTATTTTATTATATTTAGCTATCATTGGAGGCTCTCTTTCAGAGAACTGCTTTGATATCAGGCTGCTTTATCTCAGTTTCTAGTGTGATAAAAGCCAATTTAGAGGCAATTTCTTTATACAAAACAATGGAAAGTACAAGATATTTTGATGATAATAGCATTTTTTAAAAAGGGTGACCATCTGCCTTTATTCACTTCTCCTGCTTTCAGTGTCCTTTCGAGCTCTACTTTCCCTATGGAAAGATGAAATCACCGAGATCATTTTCAGTCCTGTCAGCTGCGAAGATGTGGTAACCGTCTTATAAGACAAGCATATGGCTGGGTCTTAAGGGGTTTTTCAAACTGGATATCCAAATATAGGCTGCCAAGTTGTGTACAGGAGCATCTGCCATTTCGGTTCCCTATCACAACGCCTCCCTGCACCACCAGGAAGCCTCAGCTGGTGCCTGCTCTTTTCCAGCTTGCATTACGTGGCAAGAGCAGGCCACAAAAATGCAGAGCTGCATATCTGAAGGCTTACCGTTAGGCTCCTGAATTTGACAGTCTTGGGAACACTTTGGGAAAAATTAAACTCACCCAGCTGAAGGATCACAGCAGAAACCCAGTTGCAAGCTGCAGGGTGAACGCGGAGGGACCTGGATGTTGAGCGGTCTCTCAGGTGGACCAGGAGGTGACTGGTTTGAGATACGCTTTGAGCCCACAGGCCGAGCCATGCCGTTCACACAGTCCTTGTTGGGCAGGCTAGGAAGAACCTGTCAGTACTTCATCTGATTTATTTTTACACAGTCCCTGCCAAAACTGTTGTCCAGTAGGCCCAATGTTATCGACATTCTTCTGATACTAAATCCAAAACACAGCACTATACCAACTACTAGGAAGAAAATTAGCTCTATCCCAGCCGAAACCAGGACAGTAAGGTGATAAGCAGTACAGCAGCACAGCAAGCAGCGAAAGCAAAAAGCAGCCACTAACGGGCACTAGACTCTAATATACAGCAAGGCAAGCAAGCCCCATGGCAAGCGCGTAATGATTTTGCCTGGGTTTTTTTGTTTGCTTGGGGTTTTTTGTGTTGGTTTTTTTTTTTCAAAAGCAAGGCCCCCAAAACATTTATCAAAACAAATACTGACCATTTTTACATACGTTTTGTTTTAAAGCAAAACATGGCCCCCATGCCAGGAAGTTAACTTACCTGTTCAATTCATATGGAACTTGCCCTGAAAATCAGAGAGGGCAACATCTGGGCAAAGAGGGCAAAAAAGGGCAAAATACAAAAAGATCTGGGAAGGTGAAGGAAATTGGATTTATTGCTATTTGTGAAGCCATTTAACACTGTTCAGAGCAAATTTAGCTGGTCAACACCCCATTGGTGAATCTCAAAATATCTGCCATGTTTATCTGAGACAGCCTTCTGGAACGTATCCTCATTTGTTCTTACCTAGTGTTTGCTCTTACCCACATTTTAAAACTTTAGTTATTTACTACAGGAGCCAAAACCCTTCTCCGCCCCCACCCCATGTACTGAAGGACCAACTAATAAGCAGGGAGGTAAACAATTCCTGAAGTACTTCCTTTGCCTGAGGTAACTCTTGAATAGGAACCGCACTCCTAGCAATTGGAATCACTCTGGAAACATGCCTTGAACAGACTTAAAGCTGCAGCCATTGTAATCAAGAGACTAACAGATAAGTAAGTACTTTTGGAAAGTAACCCGCCTACATGAACTGTTTTAAACTTGAAGATTGCTAAAATGAGACATTTAATAAACATGAAATGAAAAAAATCCCAGTAGCTGGATTCAAAAAATAGACAGCAGTCTTGACTCACGCATCTAACACTGGCTGGAAAGAAATGGGTTTCAAAAATATTGTTGCTAGGTATAAGTGACTAAAGAGTACAGAAAATAATTTTTCAAAAATAGATCTTTATTAGCAGTCTGGGTTAGAGAACTGGATGTTCACTGTGACTCAGGTTTTCCATTGAGAGGAATAAAAAATTCTAGGTGTTCACAGGTTACAGGTTAAAAAATATGGAAAGTGATTTATTTACATTACCAAGATGAAATTGAGTTACAGTGGCTAATAGGATAAGTGTTGCAAGTTACACATTAGAAAAGGGATATGAACCCAATTTACTGGGCAAATTAACTTTGTTAGAACACTTGAGTTGGTGCAAAGATAACAGCGCCTTTAGGAGACAAACTGCCTGCCTTGCTTGGCTACTCCAGTGTTTCTCTAATGATTAAAGTTCTTTAGGTAAGCTTTTTCACCAGCCTAAGGGAGCCAAAAGACATTCAGAAATGTGCAACAGAAATAGAATGAAAACTGGACTTAATGCCCTAACTCTATATCTTAATACGTGCTGAAGCAGTTCTAGTTCTTTTGCTGTCTGTAACTAAAATTGCTAAAAATTGTGCTTCTGCATGACGTGGGTGCCACTGATTTGCAAATGGAATTAAAGAGAGTTTTCAGGACTTGAATTACAGGCCAAGAGAATCCCTTAAAAAATAATGTCCTGGAAAGTAAAGTAGCAGATCGAGACAGATTAAATTGAAGGGGAGCTGAAGCCTTTGAGCAGTGTCCATCTGAGGCAGTTCAGACACGGACTGAAATGCATTTGGCAAGATCCCTTTCCTTCTCAATAACGAGCTGTACCCTGGTTCACCTTGCGCCCAAGGATGTCACAGTGCTTGGTATAAGTAAGGTTAGCGGTGTTCAGTGCCTGACTGCATCCAGACAAGGGGATCTTAACACCCTTGTTAGTCCAGAAAGTCGTCTGCTATTTCCAGAACTGTTCAATGTGGGTCTGGTGGGTTGATGCCGGCTGGACGCCAGGTGTCCACCAAGGCCGCTCTGTCGCTCCCCTCCTCAGCTGGACAGGGGAGAGAAAATGTAACGAAAGACTCGTGGGTCGAGGTGAGGACAGGGAGAGATCACTCGCCAATTACCGTCACGGGCAAAACAGACTCTACTTGGGGAAAATTAATTTCATTTATTACCAATCAAATCAGGGTAGGGTAAAGAGAAATAAAAACTGAATCTTAAAATACCTTCCCCCCACCCCTCCCTTCTTCCCAGGCTCAACTTCACTCCCAAATTCCTGCCTCCTCCCCCCGCAGCGGCGCAGGGGGACGGGGAATGGGGGTTGCGGTCAGTTCATCGCACGTTGTTTCTGCCGCTCCCTCCTCCTCAGGGGGAGGACTCCTCACACCTTGCCACGCAAACCCAATCAGTGAGAAAGGGGCACGGACTTAAATGATGTACCCAAGGTCATGCTGCAAATTAGTAGTGAGACGGGAAGCACCTCACACACAGTCCCCTCCTGGGATTGTGGAGCTGATCTGCCTACCTGAAAATAAAAGGAAGCCAGACCTCTCTGCAGTGATCAATTTAAGCCAATATGTATTGAACAATTTGCTATGCGATTTTAAAAATTAAAGAAAAAAAAAAGAAAAAACCTTGTAAAGCTAGACTAAACAGTGTTAACAGCATAGCGGTCGTTCTTTGATGTGATGCTTTAGAGGAGCTGAGGCAGAACGTGTTGTTTCTGTGCAGTTTAATAAAAATAACATTGTGAAACATCTTCTGATGCAAAAATCCAAGACTCTTGTCAACATCTAACACTGAACCTTAAAATCACCAGACCTAAATGCATGCAGATGAGCTGTATTCGTTAATTCTAACAGCATCTGTGCCCATTTACACCAGCTAAATATCTAGCCTAACATTCAATATAAGCAATTTTCTTGTCCCTTCCCAATTAGCTCCATTACAGAAAATCTAATTAAATCATATCTTTAGCAGGAACCAAGAATTCAAGAGCTACATTTTTTCACTTAATTAAAAGCTCTTCGTCTTGAACTGTTAATTTTCTGAAAAAGATATCCAGTAGTTCTTCCTCTGATCCACTTTGGTTACTGAATGAAATGGCTCATTTACTCTGAGTTAGCTCTTGAACTGTACGCTTAGGTTCCAACTCTTGTGAAGAGCTTAGAAGATGATAGGAATCATAGCTGCTTTTCTCCGCACCTCTGGATAAAATCTCTTCAGGTACAGCTTGTGTTTCTTTTGGGCCCAGAGAGACATCTGGATGACCATCAGGAAAGCAAAAATGCCAGCTACCAAGGAAAAAGAGGAAAAAAAAAAAGGATCATGCGTCTTCTTTCAGTGTCTGTTTCTGTGAATACAAGAGGGTTTATGGAAAAGTCTGCAGTTTCTCCTGCGGGCAGAGACAAGTTAACTCTGCCCTTGCTCTCAGCCTTCCAGTTGCCGATATACCATAGCCTGAGGCTCAGCCTCCACATCAGAATTCACACAGACGATGTTCACATCTATTAGGCACACCCTGTATCACCTATGACTTCGCCATAAATCACAAGGCCTCCTTGGGCATGCTGCCGTCTCAACACAGAATTACCCATGGCTTCTCTCGACTATTTTTCTGGTTTGCTTTTGGCCTATAACACTTCTTTCTTTTTACCTCTGGCTCCCAACCGGGACAGGGAGCTGTGCTGTAACTTGCTGTTGCGTGGAGGAAGAGCTCGGCCCTGGAGCAAGGAGGCAGTAGGTGCAGGAACAGATTTCGCTGCCTGGCCAGCGAGGTCTCACAAAGCCTAACAACTCATGCTCAGGCCCTTGCTGTGGTTGTCAGGAGCCGGTAAGTGTCTCTTGGGTACCCCTCCCTTTGGGCTGAGTGGCACGAAAAGGCGAATGCTTTTACAGGTGCTTTTTGCAAATTCGTGATCCTTTCTTCCTTAAAATGAGCTGGTGGATCAGAAACATTCATTTGGCATCGGGTCACGTTACGTTTGGGACAGTTACAGCAGGGATGAGTGTGCTGCATATGTTGCTGCTCCCTGCCCTTGCAAACGCAGCCCTACAATGTCCCCAGACTTTCAGGTCATTTCCATACCAGAGCCTAAAGCACAAAAATATTGTATCTTTTCAAACAAAATTAAAAGTTTAATTTTTTGTATGATGCAGTTTAATCCACTTTTGAAATTCCTTTCTTTTTCATTTGTAAACCACGTGGGGCTACTTTTTGCAAGTTGCTTTTATAGGTTTCTATTTTGGAGTGGAAAAACAATCAAAAAGTGAATGTTTTGGAGAGCTCAGTCCCAGGGACCATATTTGTATGGGTATTTAGGTCTCTAAGGATGCAGGAAAGTACTGAGCAAGAGCTGCAAACGCTACTAAGCAGGCTGCTGTAAGGAGCTGGCTGCCTGATCTAAGCAAACGGGGAAATGCTACCAGGAATGTTGTGTGTCTTTCCTCTTTTGAAATACTAAGTACATCTGTTTTCCTCTCCCTATTAGAAGTATTATTCCAGGTTTACAACGCAAAGAAATTTTCCTACATTAAAAATGCTTGACTGTAAATTAAGAATACTGACTTCTTTTTTTTTCTAAATTTCAAAGTCTGTTTTCACTGTGGAAACAGAAGAAACAACAATATTTCATAAAAAGCAGAGATCTGGTTTTGATCGAAAGAAAGTGTTGCAGTAGTGTTCGTGCTCTCCGCGCTTTCTGAGGGTAGCACTTTGAAGGTTTATACAGTCATGTCACAGGGGGGATTTGATGGCAATATTTGATGCCATAATTTTTTTGGCAGATTTTAGATTTCCAGAATTCACTTCTGCAAACAACAATTTAGAAGCTATCTTCATTCTGTTTCAAACTTACCTGGCAGGGTTTGTGTCATCACTGTGAAACTAATCCAAGACCCAACCTGTTGCAAAGAAAAAGGCACGGTTAATTGTATACTTTATGTAAAGCAAAAGGGCATGTTTTCAGAAGTGACCACTTCCCCAAAAGCTCCTCCTGGAAGAAGAGCGTGATACTCACACTGGAAACGGGAGAGGAAAATAGCTAGAAAGGGACGCCCCAGTGTGCTGGATGGGGGTAAAGAGATGGGTGGTAAATCCTTGGATCACTGGGGAGTCTGTAGTGGAGGGGAATATATACAAAAGTCATGATATTGATGTGAAGGAAGAGAAGGGTCTGGTGGAGAAACATTTGTGGGAGCAAGGAGACTGACATACAGAACACAATGATTGATGTGCAGAGGGAACTGCGTGGAGACGTTGCAGATTTTCTGCAGGCAAAGGCTGAAACACAGTAACCACCTACCCTTTGCATATAAGCAGAAGAAAGTCAATGTACCTCATATGTATAGTTAGGACAGGATACCAGCAAGAAGAGCCACGTGAAGGGGTTGTACGTTGGACTTGGAAAACAGGCTTTACTTCCTTTATGAAAGGAAAAAAAAAAGAAGGGGGAAAAAAAAAGAAGGAAAAAAAACCACAAACAGACAAAACCAGTTTCAATACAGGGAGGGGAACTGAGCCTTATCGCAACTTGCCTATGTAACAGCCATCCCCTTGGCCAATGCTCCCAGAGTACAACTTGTCAAAAAAGTTTCAGTGAAATCTTTTGAGACGGCAAAAGCTGTATTTATCCTAGTGAGAATGCTGCTTAGTGAGCCATGTATCAGTTTTTACAGGAAAGGCCTGGCATGTCCAAAGGATGCAACCTTTGTTCAGAGGGAGAGAGAGACAATTAGTTTAATGCGGACTAGCCGGCAGGCGAGGGCTAAGGGCACTCTTCTGGGATATAAAGGATGCAGCTGTATCTTATTCAGCCTGACTCAGGAATGTGAACCTGTGCCCTCTCACATCCTCATCCTTCATCCCAGGGTAGCACAGGAAAACAACTCCAGAGCTAACAGCATGGCTCTGATAAATAAGCCACTGATAATGCTTACACAAAATGCCGCATATGCAACACTTCATTTTTAAGTTCTGGCAACAATGCTGTCTTTAATACTTGTAGGCACTGAGAACTCTGATGAATTATTTGGCTCTTGTTGCTTTTAAATGGAATTAGGCTCCTTGCAACAAACAACATCAGCACCTGCCTAACCACAGCACATCAAAAGCTTTCCGGAATAGAAGCTGACTTCGGTGTGTGAAGTTGATCATACCGTGCTGAAGTATTTTCTTGAATAGGGTGTTACAGTGCGAAATCATACTAATATTATCTGAAAATATATTTTACTTTCTACTATATATAGTATAACTTTTATTCTCATGGTACAAAAGACCCTGAAAACCCATGCTTGGAGCAGCCTTTTAAGAGCATATATATACATTGATGCCTGTGTAGGTATTCATGAGTCTACCTTTGTGTATTTGTATATGAGTGTGTGTGTATCTTTGCATGAGATGCACGTCTCTAAAAACTCCGCAATCTAGTTTCTAAGTTTTCAAAACTTATTTAAAATTGAATCCTCTGTTGTCAGTCAACAGGATGCTTTAGAGAACTTCCATGCTTAAATCCATATTTAAATTGCAGTTGTGTGTAATTAAGATAAATTTGCTATAAGCTTTGGAACAACAACAGGCTTGCTAATGTTTCCTTGTCACCACATTTATTTTGAAGATGTTATACCGATGGCACGGTACCTACTTCATTTTTCTTTATTCCATGGATGTAGATACACAAATTACTGTGTACCAGCAGAAGATGGATAGGTTAAGCACACTTCAGTCTTAAATAGACAAACAGGAAACAAAGACAGACCTGAATGATTTTGGTGAGCTAAAGCTACGTTGATAAAGTGATTTCCAGCTTCACACATCTGCAAGACATTAAAAACATATTTTCAGTTGTATGCCTGAAATGCTGCGGTAACTGTGTTGCAGCGCACAACTAGAATCCCCCCGTTACAGCTTAGTTGCTGTATCCAGAAAATACGCACTCCAAAATGACTCTCCCACGGGAAATACATTCTGTGACCTTTGACAAACGCACAAGTGTCTAGTGCGCACAGCGGGCACAGCCTGGGGTGAAAGCCCATGTTTCAGCTCCGCAGAGCTCCGTGCAGGCAGGCCTTCCCTCTGGTTCCCGTGCCCGGCACGTGCAACACGTTTTGGGCTGGGGAGATCGGGGAGGCGCCCTGGGGTCTAAGGAACGCAGCAAGATGCTTTTCTGAACTGAACATCACTGTCGGGATTTGGATTTAATCCTGCCTGCAAAGAAGCAGGTGAGAAGTTGACCCCTGGTTTTGTAAAGATGTCATGAGTTCATGTGCCTACCCGCCTCCTACACAGGCTTCCAAAGGTGTTCAGCGCGACACCTTTGTTACGCCGGTCACAGAGCACAGCAACCAGTTCTCCAGGTAGGTCGTGGAGGAAGGAAAAATAGGGCGAAAAACCAGGCAGCGGCTCCCTGAAGGGCAGACTGGTTGAATGGATAGAGGTCGGGAATTGATAAATGAAGGGAGACAGTATTATTCCTGGTTCTGCTACTCTCTCGTTACGCCATTTCCAGCCCTAACCAACCTCTCGAATTTGGTCTTTAATATTTAGATTATTTAAATCTTTGGAAGAGGTACTATGTCTCCCCACTTGGTTATATAGCATATAGTTCAAGGTGATTTCAGATTTTCTTGTGGCTTTCAGTACTTCATCAATTACAACTGCTGTAGAATCAAAACCAATTACTACCCATATTTAAAGTGGGAACTGGTAGGAAAACCAGTTTCAATTCCTGAAAAAGAAACCCTGTCAGTACAACAATCTAATTTTATGTTTTTCATTTATGCTTTATGAAGAAAACCAAAATGCCATATACATTTCAATTTCGGACCGAATTGAACTTTTTTATTCATTTCCAGGTTTGAAGACTGATTTCTCCTCTCAAATCGAAAAAATGCAGCGTTAAAAAGTTGTGTTTTCTTATCTCATTTGTCATTCTAAATTTTGCAAGGCAGGAAAAAATTAAGAAGTTAAAATAAAAAGGAAGAGTGCTAAAACCTAGAGATGTTAAAAGTGTAAAGTCACAAAATTAATACAGAAAAAAAGAAATACGATTATAATTTTTTAAAGCCAATTCTGAAAGTCATCCATAACAAACTTCAATTAAAACTAATTGAAAGGAATATGTAACTTCATTTTATATTGAAATGTGCCATTATCTGAAAGAACATTGTAGATAACTTTGCTGAAGAGTTTTCCCCTTTTTGGCAGAGAGATTTCTGTGGGTGTTGTTAGGAAAGTTTAAATCAGTTCTATTAGCAAAGCTGTTATTCTGCATGGATATGTAGTCATGGGTCAAATCCTGCAGTCCTTTTATGTTTTTTAATTACAACTAACTGGCTGTCATCTATCATAAACACCAGATGTAAAACACTAAATAGCCAGAAAAGGAAATTCTATTATAAAATACCATATCAGAAGCTATAATTCTAGCCATAGCAATAGAAATAATTGTAATTTACGTACTTCCAATTATGAGCTAGGAACAAGATAATTTCTGATTACTATTACTTTAAAGAAAAAAGTTTCAAAGTTAAAAGTGTTTTTGTGAAACACTATGCATATTGAAATGGGCAATGCCCATACTATTGGGGAGCAAGAGAGATTCATATACTGTAGTTAACACCTACTAATTCTATAATCAATTCTGAGTAAAACAAGCAAAGGGCATTTCTGCAGGGATTTTTATTGGCTTACCTTTGACTTTGCAGCTGCAGTCTGCTGTAATTAGCTCTTATGTCCTTCTTCAGAAATGTGGCTGCTAATGCTCTATATCGAGAAGTACTGCTAAATGTAAGCTAGTCCTTAGAAAAGGCTTACCATATTTATGATGATAAAATATTGAAGTCTGCATACTGTCCCCCCTCTTTATATTCCATGGGTACCCTATGAGAAAAACGTCCCTGCAAAGCTTAGAGTCATTTCTCTAAATATGAGAATCTTTCAGAAGGGCCTGCTGACACTTCTCAAATTACTCAGTACTGTTGTTTACAGCAGCTGAAGACGTATACACTTAAATCAGGATATGTAACAAAAAGAAGCCTTAAAAGAGGGAAAAAAAAGAAATCTTCCAAGTATTTTATTCATATGTTTTAGAAACCTGTGAAAACAGCTTCAAATTATTTTATTTTGTATGTTGCTGTTTTAAATTCATTGACTGGGAACCTGCCAGAACAAGGTCTGAAAGGGAAAGGTTTTGAGTTTCTGCAGGTAGGAACTTCTCAGAAGAGCTGCAAGAATTCAGAGCACAGACCAGGTGCTGATGCAGATCTGAAGGTGATGGCCGTATTTTATAGCAAGTACCCCCAACAGGGCTCATCTCTTTGCTTGATGGCAGCATTTTCCATAAAAGCTATAGCAGGGCGGGTTACATTGAGGAGAGGAAGGATGTTTCCTGAGAAAAGGAGGCTTTTTCTATGCAGAGATTTTGACGAGGACTAGTTTTCCTGGTAGCACTGAATGTTCAGGCAAGTGGTTTGCTTGGTTTCGCGTAACCCCTGAGCTTGGGAAGGCAAGACAGTAAGGCTCTGGGCGCACCACTGCCTACTGCTGCCACAGCCTCCTGTCTCCGCAGTGCAGGATTATCGCTTTTGGCCGTAGAGCCTCACTGAGTGCCTGAACGTCTTCATGTGAGTATTTTGCTTGTCTTTGCTATACCTTGTTAGGGCGGGAAAAGCTGAGAACTGCATGGCCAACCCCCAGAGACAAACACTGCCAAAACTGTGATCTTTAAGGGTCCCAATTTATAAAAGCATTTAAATATTTCTAAGGAGTTGTTTGAATGCTTTTCTGAATAGTGTTTGCCTGAAGGAGCCTAGACACGTTACTGTCCCGTCCTCCTGTTGTATTTCTGGAAACTGATCTGCATCTGATTTTCAAAGAGGCTGACTGTTTTGGCTACTGACCCATGCTTGCTTGGGTAAGCCAACACTCAGCCTTTCCAAGTGCAATGTCCACAGAGCATGGAAGAGAATATACATTTCCATGTGAGAATTTCTTCCTGAGCCTCGATCTCACTATATGGTTATGTTCATTCAAACATCAGGTTCGGTAGTGTCAGCCATCCTTCATCACCTGCGCTTTCCCTTGGCTTAACCCACTTTGGCAGAGATTGTTTTTATTGTTTTTAATAGCTGTTGACATTAAGTTGTTCAGGCTACACAGTACTATTGCAAAGTCTGCTTAGGATGTAATTCTTCAGTGTTTTAAAAATGGCAAGTTCCAATCTGTCTAAATATTAGTGTTTTTACACAATTGTGAGTAGTAATAATGATGTTCTCATGGCTCTCAGATACAGTACTTCACATTAAGCTCTGCATAGGTACTATAAGTACTAGGAGACTTCCTGGCCTAGAAACCTTAATAGATTATCACTAAATCCAGTCAAAGGACACAGGACTGTGGGTGTGGACGTATATATATACATACACAAATGCATAGCAGCATTACTGCATTTTGCTAAATTGTGAGTTACTCCTATTCCACAATTATTAATAAAACTTTAATTTGTACGTACCAGAAAAGCAAGGGCAGCAAAAGAAACTTGTCTGTGGCCAAATGCTAGAAAATAGAATGAAATTATAAATTGCATTTTACGGTATGCACATGGTTTGCTATGGGTGAAATTAATCTAGTGCTGAGGAGCAGAAATACTTCTTTCCTGACAGGCTCTGCAGAAAGAATGGATATTATCACACCCAATATGAAGACAATGCAAATAGTAACAGCCCTCTAGAAACGCCAGTCTTTTCACTGCTGATCTCAAGGCAGTTTTCACCTAACTTTTTCTAGTATTTATCAGCTTTGTATTTCCAAGTGCTTTGTCAAAGCAGCTGGTGGTGTTAAATTCCTTGGAAAGGCGAGAGGAGGGATGAAGTGAAGGTCAGTGGCAGAACCAGGGCAGGAATCACAGCCTTATCCATAGGCCTTTCTAGCTCCATGAGCAGAGAACCCAAGACATAACCTATCCATTACGTTTTTGTTTTTTAGTAGTGAAGCCTTACTATATAGCCACTATCTGCTTCACAGTCTCGCCATGCAAGAAATATATTTAGCCTTTGCAATTTTTACCTGCCCTTTGCCTGCCCTCTCCTTTTTGCTGTTGTCCCCAGACCACTGTAGTGCTGTATCATGTTCATCTCCAAAGGTTTACAGTTCTCAAGTAAGCCTTGGTCATGGCTGAGGGACACAAACCACATGTATGTACCTCACTTCCCTGACTAAGTCTCATTGAGCCTTTACTTTTGAGAACCCTTTTTCTCTGGCTGGCACACGACTCCTCTGTGGTGCCACGGGCATGCTCTAAAACTCCTCCTCAGAACAACCAGCACATGTCAACATGTGAGTATGTAGCTGCTAAGCAGGTGTTCTTCATGGGCCCTTTGTCAGCCTCGTTTAATTTACCACTCCTGCACAGCATTCTGCAACTACCTGCTTGCCTTTCTTTGCCTGTCCCCAAACCAGCCATCTCTGGGTATGGCTGTGGAGATCACCTGCTCCTGCATCCAAAATAAACCATCGGTGTTTTACTCATCCAGCTAACTATGCCAGAGGTCTGGTGATCTCCAGCGTTAGACCCATGTACCTACTATAATTGTCATGTTAAGGCAGTGGCAAGCAATTAGAAGTACTTCTTCTGAATGCTTTCTCTGTTGGAAAGCTGTGTCTTGAACAAATGATTTCCTTTATGAAGAAGCTGCTCCTACTGATCTGGTGGCCCAGACTGCTAACAACTGTGTCTAGGAACATTTCAACGTTGTTTGCGGCATTACTTTTAAAGCCACACCAAATTCAACTGTCTTTCAATGAATCACATCATTTTGAAACAGAACTTTTGTGTTATTTTGAAAGGAAAGCAAGTGCTATGTAGGAGAAATTTTTGATTGAAAAAAATTAGTAATTTAATTGAGTGTAAATAAAAATGGCAAAGCAAACCCTTTGTTCCCAAAGCTCATAGATAAGTGTGAGATGCAGAGGAAAAGAAAGACTCAGTGTAGCAAGGAAAGTAAAGTAGCAGGAAATAAAACTTATGATAATTACCCTCAAAAGAAGCAAAAGTTCAAAGAGCAAACAAGAAGAAAAGAATCATGAAGAAACAGGAGTGCAACAATAAAATATGATGAGAGGGAAAAAAATGATGAATGAAATCTGGAAGCAAAAACCGATTTTTTTCATTTTTATCAGCAGTATCGGACTTTTGCTGGTTTCTCACAAAAAAAAAATTTCTTTAATTTTCATGAAACGGAAGTATCTTTAGCAAATAAATGTCTCCTCCAAGAAAGTGCAGCCAGCTCTAGTTCTCTCCTGCATTCCTAATACAAATATTGTGAAGATGAGCAAAATATATCTATCTTTGTGTTTTCTCCACTTGGCCAATATTTCCAGTTCGTAAAACTGGACAGCAATTGACCATCGCTGAACAGGAACATACATTCAGTGGCACAGCAGGAGTGCCTCCTGCACAACAATCTTCCTTCTGACAGGGAGTAAAGGCTAATCTCTAGCTAGGTTAGTCATACGATCTCATGTGGGGGCCACCTGTTGATTTTGGAGGACTTAAGGTTGCATACCAAACACTTTTTAAAACCAAGGTCAGTTTTGTGTTCTACTTATACATACATGGTGGCGTATATCGTGGATGGTTGATATAGTATGCAATCCAGGAAGTGAATCCCCAGTAAAAGGCACAGCCCTGGAACAGACAAAAGATACTTTTCTTTGTTAGAAAGGGCGACAAGCAAGTACAAACCATAACTTTATAAATATAAACTCTGGTAAGTGCAAAACCCAGATGACCATTGAAAGACTTTGCAGTGGCTTCTTGAGTCACCGAATATAGATCTTTTTAAGATGCTATGAAGGCACTAAAAAAAAAATAAAAGGACGCACAGTGTAGATTTTTTGGGTTGTGTTGAATGTGTTTTATGCCCGTTGTAGGAATTGATGTTTGTTTTCTCCTTATTTGATTCTACTGCTGAAGGGCACATTTCTCTGAGTTGTACTATTAAAAGTCTAGGGCTGGTTAAAACAGCTGAGCTGTTACTATACCTTTAAACTTAGCGTTTGAGTGTAAAGCTCAGATAGAGCTAGCCAAGCAGAACGCTAAACCAGCCAAGACAATAAAGAGTAAAACTGAATAGGCCTGGTTTAACCCTGGCAAAAAAAAAGGCACACAGTTCCTATAAAGATATTTGAGCTACACACTGCATCTACTCCCATGGATTCAGCCCCACCTCATCCTCTTGTCAAAAAGCAGCTCCCCAGCTGCCTTTGCTTGGTGACTGAAGCTGTGGGCTTGGGAAAGCCCAAGCAGAGATAATGTGATCATGTTCTTGCCCTGTGTAGGGGTCATTGCTCCCATCCTTTGTACAAGGGAAAAACAAAACCCACCAGCCAAACAGCTGAAACCACCCTGGAGACTGGATAAAGCCTTTCTACGTGTCTCAGTTAAGGGTCCCGTGCTCAGTACCTTCTCGAGAAGAGCAGTGTGCTGGGACTGGCTACCGCTCCATCCCATAAGTAGGGCTGCAAGTCAGGTCTTCTCTTTTTAATCTTCTTGTGTGATGCTACTGTGGTACATGTACCACAGACACGAGGGGACAACAGTAACTGTGGGTCTTTAACTCCCACATGCATGAATCACTTCGGAAATGGCACTCTAGTTCCAAAGCCGTTTAGCTTATATTCCTTTTTTTTTTTCTTAAACAGTGTGTATTGTAAAACTACCTTTCCAGCTGTGCATCTCATTACCTCCTTTCTGACTGGAATCAAGTAAAGCCCCCTATCATGGCCATATGTTTACCTCCTTCACTAAAATCTTAAATGTATTGCAAAACTTTTAAAGGGAGGGTCTTTACATCCCACTGAATGGGATGGGGGATGGGGTAATACAAAATGGCCGAGATTGCGTATGTGAAATAAAAGGAAGGAGAGCCTATGAGTAATGACACACAGTTGAAATTCAGGAGGCTTTGGGAGACAGAAGACTTCAGGCCAGCTCAGTATCTTCCTTCCTGAGGCCTCCACCTATAGAAGAGGAATATATTTTTTTTTGTACTTGTAATTTGATTTTAGCTTCCTAATGCAAGGCCTCTCTCTTGCTCTCTACTTATATTGCACTGAGGAAGCGGAGTGTGATTTCTGTCAGCATTGCTAGATGTTGCAGCAGCATATCTTATAATAAAATAGCATTCAGTCTGAAAAATATCCTGGACATGACAATCAGCCCCTTGGGTGGATGAGTCAAAGCAGAAATCGACATGCAGAAGCTAAAATGGACATTGATTTCAGTTCATGTCCTTGGGCATAGGGCCCTGAAATTCTTCTATATTTGTATTTTGACTAATCATAATTCCTGGAGCTAGAAAATAAATTATATTTTATTTTCCTATCTTCTTCCAAGGACTGCTTTGATATGAGGATATTCTCTCTTACACAATATGATAAACATATTGTCACCTTTATCATATTTTTCAGAGGAGTGTGCCCTCCCGAAAACTTGTGAACAAATAACGTCTCCAGAAGATGTCTGATGTAGTGTAAACAATGGCAGAAGCAGGCCAAGCTGGAATAAAAAAAAAGGAAATTAAGGTAAGTGAAAGACTGCTTTTTATTACTTCACAGTTTAATGTCAGAAAAGGAATAAGGACTAATATTCCAAAACTGCAGAGTCATACTGAAATTGTGGGATTTAAGATACTGTCTTAATTGAAGCATCTGGAACCAAAGATTAATGGAATAATTTTCAGTGTTATACAAAGTTGCTTTCATTTTGCAGGGAAGCAACTTATTTTTACTAGCCTTGAATTAAAAAGAGCTCCTCGAGCTCTGAATGTGATACATAGCCCTGACAAGACATTAAAACAGGACAGCTGTGTATACAATCAGGCGTCTGCTGTGCTTTTCCAAAAGACGTCTCCCACGTTTTAAGGCCACCTTAATGCTCCTGTAGGATGTGTCTGACATTTAAAAACATTCTGAATATCTTCCGAATGGTTTCCTTGTCCTTTGCCAGCTCAAGTAGCTGCATGGAGGTATTTTGTATTTCATTTCCTTGTGGACGCAAAATGAGATTTTGTTGCAAAGTTAATCCATTCTGATGGCTTTTTTGTTGCCCATTACAAAGAAATGAGGTAATTGTTGTAGAAATTATTACACTTATTCTCTTTTGAGGAAGATTATGAAACAATAACAGGCGTTGCTGATTTGCTTCCGAGAATGGGTTGCAGCTCATAGAGATTGAGTTTCAGAAACAAATGTCAAGAGTGATTCCTGGTGGCATTTTATCTTGGTTACATTTACCGTACTACCAGAGTCCGTCTCACTGCAGACCAATTATAAGACATAAATGAAAAGTGGTTTTCAGCATGTAAAATCTCAAATACTTTTATTATGCATCTTGTATGGTAGCCAGAGTCAAAGATTAAACAATTTCAAAGTAATTAAACCAGAGAGAGTTTAGCTAAGAAAATTTCAAATAATTAACAACTTACCCAAAGTCTGGAGCAAACTTCCAGCTTTGCTGGGAATTTTAAAATTAATTTGTCTTAGGATGGGGACCTCAGATGAACCCTTTAAGGAGTGGTCACTGGAAGGATTCTGCACATCCCTTGCCCACTTAAAAGAATGTAAAGGTATTGCTGGCTCTTCGGTGCTACCAGAAACTCTCTCCTTTTAAGTGTATGAGCAAGAGAAGGCAGGCAACGTCTTGCAGCTCTGGATTTGAATTCAACTATTCTGTGTTCTCATTCCCAGCTCCACTAACTCCCTTAATGTCTCTCCAAGTCTCTGTTCCTCCATCTGTAAATGGTAATATTACTCACTGTGTTTCTCTGTATACCAACTCCCTTGACTCTGCAATCATAGTGTTGAAAAAGTGCTGTGGGAAAGCTCTGCAGTTCCTTGAGGCTCCTAGTTCCCTGTGTGCCCTCCCACTTCCAGTGCTCCAACTTATGCAGCCGACAGGCTTTCCTTGATCACGTTCCACCCCTCTGGCAGGCACTAATCCCCCAGAATGGGGACAATCACACTGAAGAGAAGTAAGTTCCTTAAGTGTGAAAGTTCCCAGCCTGTCTGGTGCATTAACCACCATCCTGTGGAGAGGTACAGTTGGTGGTGGCAGTGCCTTGAGCCTCCCTGGCAGTTACCGTGTGTAGCTGATTGCCATTTTCTTGTCTGTAAGAGTTCTTAATCCTCCCATTGATCAGGTCTGCTTTGTTTCTGCCAGAGTCCTTCAAAAGGCTTGGGAATGGCAGGGGCTGTCGAAGGTCATAAAAAGCTATCTTGGTTGGCTGTCCTCTCTTCATTGCTTTTTGTCACGCTCTTGAGTTCTAGCAGACTAAGCAGATTGCGTTTCCTTGTGATCAGCTCCTACTGTATTATATCGGAGCTGTTTAATTTTCCTTGTTAGCATTACTGTTCCAGTGATGGAGAGAAGCAAAGCTATCTGGTTTATGCTTTTATATGAGCTCCTCTGATTTGTTTCTGTACAGCTAGATATAACCTGTGCTCTTCACTGTTCTGTAACAGTGGCTGAGCTCTTATTTTTGTTTGTCACTTAAGTGTTCTATTTCTTAAAAGTCTTTCAGAACTCAAATATGTTGCGTATGGCCCTGGGGAACAATTACAGTTTGAAGAGATTAGTTTCAAAAATCAGATTACCAGTTCTGAATTCCTGTGGTGCTTCTTTTGAGTTTCTCAGTTGTTCTTGACCTGACTCATGACATGCAGACCTCTCGAAATTACTCCTTGTTGTGCCTAGGTGAGAGCTGGAGTGGGGGTAATCTTCTGTGCTGGATGCTGATGCTACTCATCTTATGAGTGGGACTGCACTGTAAAGAGACTAGGAGTGGGACACCTGAAATCTTGTCCTCTCTTCTCTGTTAAGTGTGACTTTGGGTTACTACCTGCTGTGTTTATTATTTCCCTTTCTGTTCAGGCTGTGTGTCTAGAGTGCAAACTATTTGGGGAAAATACTACATTTCCCCTTGCGACCAGGTGCAGTGACCATTGCAACAGGGATCCCATTTTTGGTCAGGCTTATGAGTGCTGCTGAAATGCCAAGCCGCTATTGATAAGAACAATCTGAAACTCCCACTGACTCAGACCAGGCATGTAGCCTCACACCCCCTGTAACCTCCTCAGCCCTGGAAATGCAGTCTTCATCCCTCTGGCTCCCTGTCCTCCAGGAAAACAGTTCACGCAGGTGTCACTTACTGAACCACTGGGTGGCGGAAGTTCTTCGTACTTTCCACTTGATCGTAAATAGTTGAGAGGCGAATGTAAAAGAGCAGATATATTAGAAGAGGCCCGGTGTATTCTGTTAGAAAAAACTAGAAATGAAAAAGAAAATAGCTGTATCAGAATAGGAAATTGTACCAATAAAGGCATGAAAAAAAGAATAGCCCTATCCACAACACCTATTCATCCTTCAAATGTCATTTTGGCTTCATTTTGAGGACTTCAATGACACATAGGGGGTTTTTTATGCTGTCTCTTTAGCAAAGGAGTAAAATCCATCTAGGAAATGAGAGAGAGGTTTCTGTGCAGCACATTAACCCAGTAAGGAAGGCTTCATGGAAGGTGGTCAAAATCACAGTCATCTCCTCTTTATACTTTTGGCTGTGCCATCAGATGGCTATTTGGAATCTAAATAACACTGAAGATCAAGGCCCAAAAGCTGAAGGCAGCTTGCTTTCTGCCAGTGTTTTTTGCAATTAAGTGATACATCAGTTAAAAGCCAACCAAGCATGACAGAAACCAACACAGCTTTGAATCCTGGTTGCTAGCAGAGTCATCTGGAAAGGAGGGATCATTGCTTGAAATTTGGTGGCGGGTGGAAGAGCAGGACCTGCCTGCCTGGTATATGGTGCTTTGAGTCTTTGTTCAACCCTCAATGGGCTATTCTTTTAATCGTCCAACCCCCAGTGGGCTGTTCTTCTAATCGTTCTTCAGAAAAGCTTTGAAACAGAAAGGTTTTCCTGCAGAAATATTCTGCAATTAGGTTTTCCTTTATTTGGGACCCCCAGTACCATGTCTCTTCCTCTGTTACAGGGGGAAACTTTTTGAAATTTCAGGCTTTCATAGCACGACTGTCTCCAAAAGTAACAGACTTAAGTGTTCTCTATCAAGGAAATGTCAAATTCTCTTTTGTTCCACATGACACCATGATTTCTGTGCTCCAT